AGAGGGGGGGCGGGGGGACGGGGGGGGGGGGGGGGGGGGGGGGGGGGGGGCAGACAGACCAACGATGAGGTGGGAGTGTGTGGGATGTGAACGGCATGCATGCAGCAGCTGTATGAATACCAGTTTTGATCAGGGTTATTTACAGTAAATGCTACAAACTCAGCGGCACACAGGGTCATGTAGAACCAGCACGTCAACCTTCTTAATTGTTCTGTGTGAATGCTCCTGTTTGAGTAAAGTTGATGAAGAAGGGAATTTGTGTAACGTGCTGTATGACAGCACGTCTGTGAGCTTTCACCACCGCTCGGTGGGATATAAAACAAAGTATTCCTCCACAGACACTAAGTAGGTTTACGATCCACTGTAATCATGTTACTGTGAGTAAACAGATTAAGGGGAAATGGATGCAAGGATGTGTGGTTGTCAACAGGAAACAATGGCATAAAATAAGAGAAGGGAAACACGAGGGGGCTTTACTGGTATTTATTTTTAGTTTAAAGCAGCACTAATCAGTATTACTCGTACTTTATTCAACAAAAAGAAATGCATTTCTTAACCCTATTGCAACTTTACTTTTATTTTTTGAAACATGTTTTTTATCTGTTCGAGTCCCGGGCCGACCCAGATAATGGATGGATGGATGTTTTCCCTCATTGATGTTTTTGGCGTATTTGCATAATCAGATTAGACAGAAACCAGACTAAAACATTTACAGACCACTCTGAAAGTTCAGTAGCTCTGGTGTGTTCATCAAGTTATGTTGACCCTGATTATGACTTGAATTAGCTTAAGCTGCATGTCAGCACTCTGTTCTAACACTGGCAATAGCTGAAAACCTGAACTGTAAAGAGCTCACATATCAGATGTTGCCTCATCCACAGTCCATGTACAATTGCAGATCATCTCAGTGAAAAGTTTCACATCTCCAGTTCCTGGTCTGGAATCAGTGTTGTGCAGCGTGTTCTCAAGTACTGGCTGAACTGTCTTGGGAACTTGAGTGGCATACAACTTTATAAAATGTGTGGTATTTCCTCTCAACTTGGCTGAAGAATTGTTGCTAAAGTTTTGGATGAGCTTGTCATTGTGTGCCTGGATGTTTCCGTGTTACATCATCTTTAGACTTTCACTCAGTGGTACATGGACACATGCCTCTTAAACTAGAATGCCTTGAAATGGTTTGCCATCTGAAATGTTTCCGTTATCAGTTATTGGCTTTTGCCCTTGAGACATTTCACAACCTGAACTTTCTTTTTGTCCAAATCTGCAGCATGAACTTTATATTAAATCAGTTTTTCAGAGACAGTTCAGTGTCTCTGGACGTGCGTGGGACTGCGCTCACAGAATGATTATTGTTTTTCTCTGCAGCGCTCCTCCAGTGTTCCCTCTCTTCTTTCTCATTTAAAGCTGTTTGCAGCCTCTACTCTGTCCATTGCTTTAACCAGGAGTCGTGTGGGGCAGAAGCTGCTGTTTGCAGCTCTAGCTCAAGGGTCTTTAGGTTTATCTCTCCTTGTGTGCATGCACTTGCTCTCTCTCTCTTCTGTTCTCTTTTTTTAATTCTGTCTTCTCTATAAGGCTTCCCTTGCTCCTCTCTCTGAGAAAACTTGGCTAATAGCTAGCTACCACTAATAACCCTCCTCTCTCTACCTCTCTGTTGCTCTTTTTCTCACTTTGTTATAGTCTTCTTATATATGAGTAATAAGTTTTGTGTGGATTGTGTTGTATGCAGCAACAACAGGAGATAAAACTAAGGGTGTTTCTTTAATTATGTATTTAACATTTTGCCGCTTGCTTTTTTTTTTTTTCCCCGGAAAGGCCTTATCATCTTTGTCCTGTCCGACAATCTGAAACTTCATGTATAGTCTGATTGACGGTCTTTCTTATGACTCTTACTTAAGTTTTATGATATAAAAAAAAAATTTGATTAATAGATTAAATGTAAAATGTCAGAGAGTAGTGCAAAATGCCCAGTTCCCAGATCCAAAGGTGAAGTCTTCACATCATTTGTTTTGTCCAAAAACCTTGGTGTCCTCTGTGTTTAGGTGTTTGAGCTGCTGCACAAAGAGCCTCCATATTGATGTAGTTGGTGTAGCAGGTGAATAAGATTAAGCTCTTGTATTGCTGACAAATCTGTTCCCATGGGATTACAGACAGTGATTCACTTTTATTTCCTGTCAGGCTAAAATAGCCAGTATGGCAGGGATGAGGGGATTAAATTTGCCAGAGCAGAAACTAATGGTTTCAATTAAAGGACCTCCAACCCAACAGTGTAGAGTTTTTAAGAATTACTTATCCATTTTACTTATAAAAATAATCCTTTTTATTGAGCTGTAATCGCCATATACCAAGCCAAAGTGGTCCCCTCTGTTTAAATCTCGCTCTCTCCCTTCTTTTCTTCTTGAAACACTGCTCTCTCCCTGTGGTGAGGTCGGATTAGTTTCCACTCTTTGCCTTTCAACCCTCTCAATATCTCTCACTTTCACTCACTTAGGTTGGCTTCCTAAAGACACAGCACAGGTATGAAATAGTGTTCACCTTACCCGAGGTCCCAGCTTTGGGGAAGGATGTGTGTCCAGCGCCAGTACCCAGTCCACACCTCCGGATCACTGATATCACACCGGCACCTGAGGGTAAGATCATGAGACAACACGGCAAACAAAACTTTAGTAAACACAGCACTGTTTGCATCTACAGTGGTGTGAAAAAGTGTTTGCCCCCTAAACCTAATAACTGGTTGGGCCACCCTTAGCAGCAACAACTGCAATCAAGCGTTTTCGATAACTTGCCATGAGTCTTTTACAGCGCTGTAAAAGACTCATGGCAAGTTATCGAAAACGCTTGATTGCAGTTGTTGCTGCTAAGGGTGGCCCAACCAGTTATTAGGTTTAGGGGGCAAACACTTGTTCACACAGGGCTATATAGTTTTGGATTTTGTTTTCCCTTAATAATAAAAACCTTCATTTAAAAACTGCATGATGTGTTCACTTGTGTTATCTTTGACTAATATATAAATTTGTTTGACGATCTGAAACATTACAGTGTGACAAACATGCAAAAAGATAAGAAATCAGTAAGGGGGCAAACACTTGTTCACACAGGGCTATATAGTTTTGGATTTTGTTTTCCCTTAATAATAAAAACCTTCATTTAAAAACTGCATGATGTGTTCACTTGTGTTATCTTTGACTAATATATAAATTTGTTTGACGATCTGAAACATTACAGTGTGACAAACATGCAAAAAGATAAGAAATCAGTAAGGGGGCAAACACTTGTTCACACAGGGCTATATAGTTTTGGATTTTGTTTTCCCTTAATAATAAAAACCTTCATTTAAAAACTGCATGATGTGTTCACTTGTGTTATCTTTGACTAATATATAAATTTGTTTGACGATCTGAAACATTACAGTGTGACAAACATGCAAAAAGATAAGAAATCAGTAAGGGGGCAAACACTTGTTCACACAGGGCTATATAGTTTTGGATTTTGTTTTCCCTTAATAATAAAAACCTTCATTTAAAAACTGCATGATGTGTTCACTTGTGTTATCTTTGACTAATATATAAATTTGTTTGACGATCTGAAACATTACAGTGTGACAAACATGCAAAAAGATAAGAAATCAGTAAGGGGGCAAACACTTGTTCACACAGGGCTATATAGTTTTGGATTTTGTTTTCCCTTAATAATAAAAACCTTCATTTAAAAACTGCATGATGTGTTCACTTGTGTTATCTTTGACTAATATATAAATTTGTTTGACGATCTGAAACATTACAGTGTGACAAACATGCAAAAAGATAAGAAATCAGTAAGGGGGCAAACACTTGTTCACACAGGGCTATATAGTTTTGGATTTTGTTTTCCCTTAATAATAAAAACCTTCATTTAAAAACTGCATGATGTGTTCACTTGTGTTATCTTTGACTAATATATAAATTTGTTTGACGATCTGAAACATTACAGTGTGACAAACATGCAAAAAGATAAGAAATCAGTAAGGGGGCAAACACTTGTTCACACAGGGCTATATAGTTTTGGATTTTGTTTTCCCTTAATAATAAAAACCTTCATTTAAAAACTGCATGATGTGTTCACTTGTGTTATCTTTGACTAATATATAAATTTGTTTGACGATCTGAAACATTACAGTGTGACAAACATGCAAAAAGATAAGAAATCAGTAAGGGCGCAAACACTTTTTCACACCACTGTAAAATAAGCTTTTGAAATATGAACAACTCGTATTTCCATGTAATTTTCAGAGCAGAAAAATATCCAGGAAAAACAAGAGTCTCGGCCTTATTTTTCTCTTCATAACGCTCTGGCTCCCTGCCTCTGTGCCAGGCCAGAAATGATTGGCTACTGGGCTACAAGGAAACAGTATACTTCAGCAATAATTGTAATAACATAATATGTTTTTATAATGACCTTGAATTTGTCTGACCATGACTAGCTGATTCGGAAAAGTTTGTGAAGCCCTCATCTACTGATATTAACAAGTTAACTGGAGCCAGGAGTTAGCGAACCTGGAGTCCAGTCAATGAAATAACACTGAAATAATTAAATAAGTAATTGGTTTATATTAGTTTCCTTAATCTTTGGCCAGTCACATTATGCCTTATCAGAGGTTATCTCCCTAAGCCGCATACAATGAAACATCCACTCAGTGTCATATAACAAATAAAAAACAGCTTTAGTGTGAGTCTGGTTTTATTGCAGTGAAATATTTTGCAAATAATTCTCAGCGGCATTGATACAGGCTGCGCTGAGTACCAGATGGCTGAGGATTACAGGCGCAGAGTGTTCGGATGGTGTTAGCTCCGCAAATCGTCTCTGAGGAGTCGTAAACACAAAGCTGACATTCATATGCTTTTCTGTGTTTGTCTTGAATTCCTGTCAGTCGGCATTCTGTCATAGGTGGTAAACCCCAAACATCTGGCACTTGCACAGGCTTAAAAAGGTCATTTTGTTAAATTTGTAACAGTAAAGAATGTATGTGAGTGTATATACCGTACTTCCTTCATAAATAAACCAGCTAATTTAGGCTGAAGGTGATCCCCTAATGTCTCTGGCAGTCATGCCCACTACATGCCTGTAACCAAAGCAGGTTACTGACCTTTACTTTCAACCTATTGTCACACCCTTTATATTACACTCTGGTCTGTCTCTGAAGTGTGTGTGTGTGTGTGTGTGTCAGCCTGTCTATATTTGTGACCACTTGCTCCTCTGTCAGCTGTGTTTTTGTATTCATCGCCATGCTGACATTTTGTTCTTTTGTCCTGCCTGATTGTCTCCATGACACCAGCTTGTTATATGTTCAAAACATCGGCACACACAGAGAGACGTTGGTGTGTAGGAAACCCAGTCTCCTGTGTGTTTTTCAGGAGGTCTGAAGGTAATGTGCGAGTACATGGCCCAGCAGGAGGGAGTTCTGTGTGAGGAGGTGCTGCTGCTGAGTGAGACCAATGAGGACGTCTGTGTCAGAGTCAAAGTTCAAGCCAGAGTCATGGGTGAGTTTACTTTATCAGTACAAGTGATAATAATCTTATTTTTCAAATATTGCACCACACTCCAGCCTGTATGTGAGCTGTTGTGGTATTGAGAAACAGGACATCTACAGGTCTTGAACATTCTTAAAAAGCATTGAATTCAGTCCCCTGGATAAGGTTTTGAACATTTTTCTTGCTTGTGTAGATAGTAACATTAGTTATAACAGTTCACAGTTGCTAGGAAATTCATTGGCTCATAAGGGCAGCTGGGGTATGTGAGAGTAGGGCACCCTGCAGATCGTCCAGAGTAGACAGCACTGGGGAGGACGGCCAGGTCACTGTCTCCCTGCTCTCAGCTAAACACAGCATCACACAGCTGTTAACCCCTAATAAACAGGATCCTTCCCCAAAAGGAAGGGGTCACGCAGTGGGTCATGTCTCTCTCGTCAGAGTCAGGAGGCCACTTAGATACATAAAAATAAACCACCCGCTCTATCTATTGCATTTCTACTATTGATAATTGAAATGAGAATTTTATATTGATTTTCCACACTTAATCCATTATGAGGACAAAGACTGACAACAAAATTATTATGAGAATCTATGACAATACAACAATTGTTTGGCCAAAAGTATGAAAAAAAAATCACTTATTTTCCAAAAATGTTTTTAAATTGCTTGCATTGTCTGAACCAGCAGCCCAAAATACACAGATACACAAAATATTTCATTCACAATCACATAAAACAAAGACAAACAGCAGAACTTCACAAATGAGAAGCTGAAAGTAGAGAATCTTTGCCTTTTTTCCCTGACTTAAATGAATGATTATTGATTATCAAAATAGTTAGAGTATTTTAATGTTGGTCAAATAGTCGTTTTAGCACTATTTGATAGTAGTTGGTGTGCTTTAAGTATTTTTCATAGGGATTGAATTATTAAACTTGAATGTCTTTGTGCATTTTAATGTATTTCACCAACATCTTCTTCCACAGCAGATGGATCTTTTTACCCCTTTTAGCTTAACTGCAGCATCAGGGGGTCTCATATTTTGCCTGTTTTGGTTTTAACTGACAGCTAAACCAGAAGGTTGTTCTTACAGGATCTTCACTAGTGCACTGCTGCCCCCTGCTGGTGAATATGTATTTAGCATCAAAACCACACTTGGCACAGCCCTTTAAAAAAGTTTACTCACTTTTTATAATGAAAACACAATGTAAAGTTTTATAAGGAATCACCAGCATATTGTGATTAAACATCTAGAATATCAAAACATTTGTATAGTGTTTTAAAAGATGCTTAGTGAGTGTAAATTATAAAATGTAAAGCTCATTCTGCAGCTGCTCCTACATTGTATGTCTGCTGAACTAAGTGAAACGGGGTTTACATGTATATGCATGTGTACCTGCATAAATATTGTACAGCTTGTGTGTATTTTGGTATGCAGCAGTTTGAGGATGAATGGCAGTTGTGTATTTCAAATCAAATCATTTGTATAGCGCCAGATCACAACAAAAGTCATCTCAGGACACTTTACAAAGTAAGGTCTAGACCTTACTGTTATCCACTATATCCTGTTATTTGTCAATGTTTACTCACAAGGTGTGGCCTTGGCACCTGTTTGTGTGCAACTGAGGAATGGATGTCGCCCACTCCATTCATACTACAGACCTTAATGCTCATTTCCAGTCCTTTTTGTCAGAGCTGATATTTTTCTGTTTGTGGTTCACATTCATGTTTGTAAGTGACGTGTTCAGCTCTGTTCTGTCAAGACAAGCACAGATTCAGGTGAATGTGTGCCACATGCACACAAGAATAGCAACAATGTCTTTTGTACAGCAGGTTTCCTCTCCACTTGCTCGGGTCTAACGGAAGCTTCTGCATAAATGTCCAACAGATGTGAAATGTCCTTGTCTCTCTGCTGACCCCTGTCACAGCTGTTGGTCTCCTCCATGGTTATTTTTACTTGTGTGTGTGTGTGTGTGAAACGTGATACTGAATGATGATGGTGATATGCGCATTTGCAGCGGAGTGAGTTACTGAAAAAGACAACGTCCATTCTGATCTGACCGTTCACATGGTCAGAGGTCGGATATGAATCAGATCTAGTACCACATAGGCAAGTGGCCCCAATCTGATATGAAACTAGTCCGATTTGGTTGATCACAGATCAGATCTGAGTCACTTGGAGGAAAAAAGATTTGATTTGAGTCACTTCATCTTCTGCCTCATGCTCTGCCATTACCTCTAGCTGTGCCAGTGATGTTAGAGTAGTAACTGACTTGGTTTGTTACATGCATGGCTATTCCTGTCCCTCTAAAAATGAAAAAGAGTAGTTTACATTGTCCTGGAGTTGAACCCAAGCCTTGCATGTGGTAGGCAAGAATTCTACCATTGAATTAATAAAGTGTAATAGAGCCCACTCAACTATTTCAAATTGGAAGTTTAACAGGAAGTTTAACAAAATTTGTTGTGTTGCTAGTATACACCACGAGAAGTGCCTGTTGGATGGTCAAAGATGTAAATGGCATTTTCATTATTCATTGAAATAGGCTATAGTAACATTTAAATGACATCTAATACATTTATTTATCCATGCTGATAAGTCATTCCTAATAATTATACTTTTTTTGATAAAGAAAGTACTTAGCTATGCATGGTCAGTTACTCTGCTTCTTATCCTAGATAGTAGGTGGGGGAAAGTTTGTTGCATTGGTTGGAATTCAAACCCAGTTCCATCACATAGGTGGGAGTTCTATAGTTCCTTACAACTGACGAGTACGATAGTGTGGGACTAATGAGTTTATTTGCCATGTTGGCGCCTTCAGAAATAAAATGTCTTTATAGATAACAATGGCTGCAGTTAAAGAAGGCAGAGTCGACTGAGAGGACATGCGGTCCATTTAAATACGGAGATTACGGGTTTTCAGTCCTCATTACTTAAAGCATTCACAAAGGGAAAAAAAAAAAGCGTATTTTGCATTGGCCGGGAATCGAACCCGGGCCTCCCGCGTGGCAGGCGAGAATTCTACCACTGAACCACCAATGCATTTATACAGGTTATGTTTTTGGGCTCAGGTTAAGAATTAGCGGGTCGTTCCGGTGGTGGGTACTGGTGCTATAGGTACTAGGATACAGAAAACACTTAGATGTACGGGCATTGTTGTTTCCCCTCCTCGCCCGATGTGGTGGGTGGGGAAAAGGTGCTTCACATTAGTTGGGAATCAAACCCGGGCCTCTTATGTGCCTTTTTAAGAAGGGATGGTAATTTGAGCGATTATCGTTTTAGACAGAAATGTAGTCTGGACCTGGTTTTAGGTTTGAAGGGTGTTTAACGGACCTCTCAGTTCAGAGAAAATGATTTCTCTACGTCTCTCTCTCTCTCTCTCTCTCTGCCTCTTGTCTAGATCGTCACCATGGGACACCCATGCTGCTGGAGGGAGTTCGCTGTATCGGGGTGGAGCTGGAGTACGATTCTGAACAGAGTGACTGGCAAGGATATGACTAAATCTCAAGCTCCTCGTTTCACATTACACACAGATATACACTATACCAACACACACATACCTGCCTTCAGAAATGCACACCTACCAAAATACACATCTTCACAAATAGAAAAAGAAACAAAATCCTCCACGACTGACCACTAGTGTACACATCCACATATATGATTTAGGGCCATGTGCAGCACCTCGTGCACCAGTGTGGTCCATCCTAAGTTTTGAGAACATTTACATACAAAAACATTCCTCTGCTGTATCATCCACCACAACATTGATGGCATCAGAACAGACATTTCGTCACTTTGTTGCTTTATTTCTGCGGCGACTCCGCTCTACTGTTGTTCACTGTGGGCTGTTCTTTGTGTTTTCCTCACTCAACCTCTAGAGGGCAGCAGTGCGCTTTAAATCAGTGTAGCCTCACGTCCACTGGCTCTGCTCCAGTTCACTGTTTCCTGATGTGCTGTACCAGGAGTAAACATGTAAACGTGAGTAAAATCAGTAATTAAACAAATCGTGAAACCGACTCCACAGAAAAGGAATGAATCTGCACAATTCAGGAAATAGATTGATGAGCCTGTAACGTGTCTGTTTAACCACAAGGGTGCAGACAACTGGAATGCTCCTTCAGTCTGAAGGCTTTAGTTTGTTTTGTTTTGTTTTTTCTGAAAAAGCTGTGCTGCACTCTAATGTATTCCCAACTTTGGCATTTTTAAACAGTCCTATAATTAAAGTCAGTGAGGTTCTTTGCATTTTGAGGCTTGTAATCAATATTTTTGTTGTACTTTGCTTCAGCCTGCTCTGACTACATCTGCTTAGGTTGTATGTATTTTCCAGATCCAAAAGAATGAGTGTAAACATGTGACAGTATCTTCTGCAGCTACACTAATGGAGAGGGCTATTATATATTTTATTATTATATTATACTATGTTATTAGCAGTAATACCTCAAACAACACATGCTCCAGCTACGTGACATTAATCTGTGGAGCTTTTTCAGAGATGGATTTTTCCTGGGTAATGTGTGAAAAACAGTATGAGGCATTTTCTCTTTGATAATGAGGAACATGAACTAGACTCCGAGGTCTACTGTTGATGGTTTAAATCACTGTATCATGGCACAAAATGTCATTGCTGTCATTTATGACACGTTTCTGTGGTTCCAGCTTTGCCTTTCTCTGTTTTGTATAATTGCAAATTTAATCTTTTTGGCTTTTAGACTGTTGGTCAGAGAAAACATGGCATTTGAATGCATCACCTTGGGCTCTGGGGAAATGTAGAGCAACATTTTTCTGTTGTTTGCTGTTTGATAGACTAACCTCAAATCCATTAATCAAGAAAATTATTTGATCAATTAAAATAATCCGTAAGTGTTTTTGGTGGATTTTTCCTTTAGGACAGTTGCTGCAGCCAGTCCACCAGGGTTCACCAGGATTTTATTTCTTTTGTTTAATTTCATGAAGCCTTCAGATACACACATCCAACATAAGTGCCTTCCATTGTATCACTCTGTTTCTCACTTGAGCCTGAAATAAACTGTACATCCCATCACATAGTGTTTCTACCAGACACACATGGACCAGGTTGGAGCAGCAGGAAGGTGAAACGAGTACTGGGATGAGGGGAAATAAAAATAATAAAAAAAGTCTGGTTTCAGAAAAGTGCTGCCATTACAATCCAGTGTAACAGCCTCCTCTTTGTTGTCTTTCCTATGTTTAATCCTGCTTCTTTCACCTGCTTTCTTCAAGCAGGTGTTTCTGACGCTCAGTCCCGTCGCTCTGGTCACAGCACGAGTGCAGGTCAGACAGAGCTGACAGGTGTGATTGCTAGTAAATGATTGACATTGCCTGTCAGCTCTGCTGATTTACATTTGTGCTTAAAGAGTAAGTGCCATCTCTTTAAAATAAAAAAAAAATCCTAAAATTACTTTTGTGTTAGTCAGTTTTTGTTTGGGTTTTGTTCTCTTGTACCTTATTTGATGCATTCAGCCTTAAACAAAATGTGTGTTCTTCTCTATGTTGAAGCACAAGCTGTTGGTGTAGTACAGATTAAATAGATTTGATGTTTGCTTACACATAATAGGTGAAAGTCTGGTTTGTTCCCTCTTAGTAAAAAAAACTAAAGTGCTCAGTAAGTTACTGTTTGAAGAGTGTAGCTGTTAATTTGTCCATATCTGCTCCCTGTGTGCGTGATTTGTATTTTTTAATGTCAGTAATGAATAAAAAGGTGTGTGTGTGTGTGTGCTTGAGTTTCTGTTCTCTTTGCAGCTTCCAGGTTCACTGCAGTAGCATGTGGTGGCTGTCTGCACTACTACAACGGTTTGCTCTTAGTTAAAAGGACCGTGACTTATGAACATCCCGCAAAACTTGTATTCCCCAAAATTTCACTTCTGTCACAGCCCTTTTTTTCATGTAATCCAGAAACATTTGGAGACATGGGTTTTCCTTGAAAATAGTACATCTACTTTTCAGATGAATGTGAATGTCTTCATCTGGTCTGTGTTTATCTTCTGCAGCACAGTTTCACCACAGTGACATGAAGCCTGTGCTGTTTAAAGGCCTGAAAAGTGACCAGCTTAGTGGAAACACTGTGTATTGCACACAAATGGTGAGTGTCTGAACTTTCCTAAGACCAAAATCAGCCCTAGAGGTGACAGAATATAACGCTTTTTAATTTTAAAAGTAACTTGCTAACGGTTTTTTTTAGGCATTTTACAGAAATATGTACAATGTTGGTCCAATAACCCACTGTAATTTAGAAATATTTCATTTTTAGTATAGGTCTATTTATAATATACATTTATCTTAAAGGATAATGCTTGCACTTAGCAGTTGCGATCATTTTATGACAAATATCTAAACCCAGGCTGTTTTCAAGGTGATAAATAATAAATGTTAAGGCGTCCAATCACAGTTTATTACAGAACCGTAATTAAAGTGAGATGTTTGGTGACATCGGCATCTGAAACAGATCCAACAACAAACCTTCACTCGCATTTGGATTTGAGTAAAGATAAATCATTGTTAAATCATTTCACCACCAAGTCCAGTTCATAAAAATAACTAAAACACACGAGTTTGTGTTCGTGATAAAGATGAAGAAAAACTTCACATCTTAATTTAAAACTTTATTTTCAGATAAAAACGACTGCAGCGATTTAGGAGAGAATGTATGTTGGACTCTGCCTCTTTATTTCTTATTGGCTGATTTCTAGCCATTATATAATAAATTTTAAATAACCATTACAGGTGAAAATGTTATAAACTCCTCATTAAAGGCTGCGAACACACCCGTGCGTCCACATCCCTAACATTCTGGAAAAGGTCTTGACATTAGAAATGATTATCTGACCGGTTGTTTGGATGAGGGTTGGACATATAAGTCCCACTATAGGGTCCAGAAACACAAATTAGAAGTGTGAAGACCAGGGGGGATCCTGCACACGGGCCGCGGAGGGATCCGTTTAGTAAGAAAATAGGGCCAAACACTTTTAATTTCGTCTCTATCGTTCGTTTGTGACTCTTGATGAGGTTAAGTCCGGATGTGCATAAAGTTTATTTTAGTTTTTACACGAAATAGTTTAAACACAAATTACATTATGATTTCTATGGAGGTTTACAATAGTTTATCCTAAACTATTCTTAAACAATTGGCCATAATCTACAGACGTTTATTGCTAAAATATGTTGTGTCATTTTGTCGTGTGGCCCAATTTATTCGTGTCGTTATAGATTATATGTGGTTACATCCATTTCAAACTGTACAGTTAAATTTCTTTATTAGCATTTTGTTAATTGACAAAGTTTGTGTTTTGGCATCTTTAATTAAATACAAATTCACATTCCTAACAGATTAAATAAGTTTATTATAGTCACATGTGAGTGCACCTAAAAACAAGCCGATGTTGTTAGTAGCTCCTAAGAATTTAGCTTCATCATTCAATTTTCTACTAATAACAGTTAATATATTTCTAAAAAAGACCTGAATTTCGTTCAGTTCTTTTTGCTGGTTATAGGCCAACGAAGTTATAAACTCTTTTTCTGTCAGTACTAGTGTGAATAAACCGCCTGGACAAAACAAAAACGTTGGATGCAACCTTCTGTGTGTGTAGGGGCAGAACAAACATACCAAAAGTGAAGTGTATTAATTCCCCCCTAAAGATTCCAGCACTTGCATCAGATTGACTTCAGATGGTTTCATGTTATCATAAAGCCGAGGCCATAATGTGGTTTCTAGTGAAAACGGTGTGGCTCCTCCTCCGCCACGTTTTCTTTCTAACTTTTTCCAAAGTTTTATTTCAACAAAGCTCTACAGACGTACATGTGGACTCATTTGGCACCTCGGTATCCCCTAAAAACCCTCGGCATGTCCGCGCCCAGTGTAACCAGCAGCTACGGCTTTCATACTGGTAGCGAAGTGTTTGTACCAGCTTCTTTGGAAGAATCAGAAACCTGCTAAATGCTTGTGTGAGACACTAGTGTTCATACAGCCTGTTATACAGACATGGGAAACCATTTGTTCTGAAATGTCGTCTGCAAAAGCTTTTAAAGCACCTGAAGTGAAAATGACTGACTCGGGGTTGTTTTCCATTCCTGCGCAGATTTGTCATCTTGTGTGGGACGTGTGAACTCGCCGTGGCCCGGTGCCCTCCCTCTGACCTGTGGGATTACAGTAATCTCTGCTGATTGATCTGATTGATCAGATTCATCTCCACGAGGCAGTCCAGGCCGTGCGGGGGACGGTGCATGGTGCTCACACACGTCTTATTGCTCTTTTTTGGCTTGTGGACATTCATTTATACACACAGATCGTATACATGGGCTTTCACTGAGGCTATAGGCATCCCATCATCAAACAGGAGGTACATGCTCCTTTATCTGTAGTAAATTAGCGTAATTAACATTTTCCACTCCTCCTCCAAGCTGAAATCATCACAGGAATGAGTGTAAAACTTTCTGGGACCATGTGAATGAAGCTATTTTAGGACAGGAAGGTCAAAACCTTTTATTAAACTAGATCTACTGTGTTAGGTAATGATTAAAACGTGCAATAGGAAAATACACAAATAATCTGTGATAAATGTGGAAAGAAAATAAAATGTAATTGTGGTTTTTATAGATGTATTTTTCCATTAACGGTCCATAACACTGACCGAAATGTTCAGTGATATGTTTAATGCAAGTCCCTTTTGCCTGTGGACTTGCCAATGAACTATCTGCAGTACAACTATTCGGGTCCTTTACTTGAGTGAAAGTAGCAGGAAGTTTAAAAATTTTGAGGAATATGGAGAGCAAAATGAAGTATGAAAGGTCAAAGTATGCTCTTCCATTCCATCATTTAATGCACATTTGGTATTTTTGGGGTCATGTATCAGTTTTAGTGTGGTTTCAAACGGAATGTGTGATTTTTTGTTGTTTTATTTATGGTGTTATTTTACATTTCATGCCTTTTGTTTACGTTTAACAACTGTTAATATAGATGAGCTAGGTGACAACCGGTCAGTGGAAACTAAATGGACTCTGAACAATAAACACCAGATGTACAGATGCTCAAGTACAAGTAGGCCTACCGTTAGCAACTAAATCTATCAAAGTACTGACAGGCAAAAACAAGTTTATTAGATATCTATCTATCTGTGGAGAAACATCCTTGATTGCAGTACATTTGTACATTTGGCCGAAAATGTTCTTACTTGTTAAATTACAATAATCACAGAATGATGAATGCACCTAAGGAGTGAAATCAAAATCCGCGCAGTTTTCAGAAGAGTTAAACGCAGTAAAAATCTGCTTTTGCAGGATTTTAGCTGTGCGTCGGTAAAGACAGCGCGACTGAATGGAGACAGAGGAATAAGGAAATGTGTGTGTGCGTGCGTGTGTGTGTGTGTGTGTGTTCGTGGTAGCACAGCAGCAGCAATCAGTCCCCTCTTGTCTCGCTGCTGAGTGCAGCGCCTGATTGACAGTTTCTATTCATCCTCTGTGAGATTAGGCCAGCTGAAAGGAGTAACGACCCATGGCTGTGTGCAGTAATTACGGCCTTGTATAAGATAAATAAGAAAAAACACACACACACACACACGCAGCAAAACTATAATTATATAATCCCGCTCAAAATGACTTCTTTTCTTTCCCCTGCAGTGTTTTCAAAGACGTTTCACCTGTAGAGGGGAAATTCCACCCAGTGTTTCAGTCATTCCTGCAACTGAAATTATCTCACAATCACAACAAACTACGGGCTGCACCATCAACACGAAGCTGGCAGAAGATTGGTGCTGCGTAAAGATGGCTCCGCGTACACACAGTAAATCACTGCAAATGAGACGTTTTATCTGCAATATGAAGCAAATAGTAGCATCACTTTATGCTCTTTTTGTTGTATCATGTAGTATGTGTTGTGTAGAAAGGGCCCCTACTTCATAAAACCAGACGGTGTGTGCGTTGTTGGTGTTGGGGGGTGGGGGGGGGGGGGGGGTGGACCAAATAACGAACACCTGTTAAATCTCCTAACTTTTGTTGAGATTTTTGACTCAGGTTTTCAATTAGGCTTTAGTTTGTGGTGTTGCTGTTATCGTTGTTATTATATATTGAGATGTGCTGCTGTTGATTTATCCACCCTCTGCGTTTGCACGGGTTTCGCTATAATGTGCTTTATTCTGAAAAGCCAGCACCGTGTCTCAAACCCAAATGATTAGTTTGTGCTATTTGAATCTCCCCATTTTGTGGACAGTGTGTACCATAATTAATTTTCAGGCTCTGAGCTTCTGAAAACAGTATTTTTTAGGGACATCATAAACTCACAATTGGATTAAGAAACCAGAATTTTAGGTTTCACGCCTTTTTTTTTAATGGCAAATCTCCCTTTTGGTAAATAATAGATTTATTTTTGTAGCCCACAGGCACAAATTTGTGTCATCAGGATTCACAACTCACAGGAGACATCCTCGTCCTCACACCCTTGATTTGGACATGAAAGATTAGGATTTGGGGTTCACATGCGTTTTGATGGAGAATACATTTAGAGGAACATATTTTTAAACATTTGCAGCCATTGTGTAAATGTGACACTAGGAACCTTCATCACATCAGACTTACCAATATTTGATAAAAAATGTTTTGTGTATATTTTTAGAAGTTCTGTTTTTATATTGAGAATTTTAAAGGCCAGTAATCGGGTTTATTTATATATTCTGAATGAAATGTAGGGTTGATCTTTCTGGATTAGAAGTAGCAGCTGTGTGCCGTAAAACTATAAAATGTGACAGTGTCACGGGGCTGTGGAGGAACTCGGGCAGCTCTGTCTTCGGCTGTTTCCAAAGCGGCATAGCGCGCACAGCCATCGTCTCATGTCTCCGTGCCTGATCCCGGTCTACGGCGCCGCTCATCCTTTTTGTCAAAACGTGCCCTGTCAGCGGGCCAATCAGCGAAGACCCTGCGTGGACAGGAAATGACGCAAGGGTTCCTGTCTCTGTAAGGCGTACCGTGTCACCACAAATATTACCCACATAGCAGCGTCTCTCCTCTGATAGTGCAGGCAGGGTGTATCAGCCGCCCCGCGCAGACGTGATGTTTCAGCTGTAAAACAAATGATAAAAACTGAAAAGAGTGCGTGAGACTTTGCTTGTCACTGTCCCTTTCCCCGCCCCCCCCCCCCCCCCCCAAAAGCTTTCAACACAGACATCTTTTCTCGTGCCCTCTCCAAAAGCAGAGGACCATGTGGCCATCTCACCACCACCAACATGCAGTCAAGGATGCGCAGAAACAGTCGATGTGACCGGGGGTGAAGTGCAGGCTGGCGCTTTGGACACACGGGAAAAACTTTCCTCCCTGGCCTGCGCACGGTGAACTGTGACCGCTGTTGGGTGGGTTGTTTTTACGCCCCCTCTCACTTTGTTTCTACGCGGGTGAGCAGTGTGTGTGTGTTTGTGGCACCTCCCCGCTCCTCCATAGATCCAGTTGTACCCTGTACCTTCCAGGCTGCACCATGCATATCTGCTGCACGTTCTGGCTACTATAGTTAGAGCAGGAGCCCGAGGTTCTTCCCCCGCCGGCTCCCTTGTGCCTTGGTTTGGACTTCGGACAGTGCATCATGCCGCCACACCTGAAGCGCATCTCGGTCTGGTTGCTGGACCGCACGGTTCTTTTGTAACTGGATCTACTTTGCTTGGAGGGAGAGAAGGGCATGCTCCCCTCGTCTCTGGAGAACACGTGTAAAGAGGAAAAGAAATTCGAAAGAGAAAGCTGAGCAGCAGCGACATAAGGAGAGAGAGATCATCTTCGGGGTTGTAACCTGTAGATGTTTGATCAGGCCACGACTATGGGCGATGGTAACCATCGCTGTGGACCCAAACCGTTGTGTCTGGACCGGATGGAGACGAAGTGCCGCGCCGAGATAGGCAGCCGGTCCCCGGTCCCGAGCTCCACCGACACACCAGGGACATCAGCGTCCACACCAACGTCCTCCAGTGAAGACGGACACGACAAACTTTTGGGAGTGGACCCTGACTACTGTCGGAGGATATTAGTGAGGGGTGAGTGGACAAAAAGCTAAACCAAACGCGATTCATTCTGCGCGTAAAACTCACTTTCAGAGTCAGCCAGAGTTTAGAGAAGGTTATCTTAAAATCATATCCACAATTATCCCAATTAGAGACCGTCCAGCAACAACTGTCCTAATCATAGGCTTCACTTCAGACTGTTTTAACAGATACAACGAGAACAGACATAACTATATTAAAACTGTGACAATATTTATGTAAGGAAAAAAAGGGGGCGACGCTGAATTTGTTTAATTTGCGCTTTCCCCATGAAAAATGTAAAAAAACATTGTGAAATATTAACTGATAGAAGACAGATATTAGGCTATATAAATGCAAACGTGTCTTAGACTGACGGTGTCAAACACACAGCAGCTCTGGCACAGTGTGGATTTCAAAAGGCCTCTGTTGTGCTGACGATACTTTTGTGGTGCCCAAGTCACTGTCACCAGACCACACCTATAAATGATTTATTAAAAGAAAATACAAGATAAAATCAAATTACTCATAAAATGATTGTTTGGCACATCTTTGCTCACGCGAAAATATAGAAAAGATGTATTTGTATGAGCATTTCTCTGAAATCATCACGCATGTAAGTTTAAAATCAGACTTGGAAACAAAGGGAAATGCTGTAAAGCACTGTTCAGCACAGTCAAGTGAAATTCACCCATCAAGGCTGATGTGTTGCTGTTATTAACAAAAGAGCTGATTGAAAACACATCTTAGTGAAATTGCTGTGTGTGTTCCTGTCAGTGCTGATTGCCTTTGTGTGCCAACGTTATGTTAATGAGCACCAGAATAATATTTAATTCAGTACAGTCCACGCCCTCGTGCAGGAGGCCGGTAGTCTGTGAATGAAGAAGGCTTTTTAAAAATACAAAAACTATAGGATACAATCTCTGCAGTAAGCAAACACTCTTAGAATAAAATGAATAGCATCTTTTCATTTGAGTTTATTTAAAATTCTTATGCTGTTGACAACATTTTTAATGTCTAAAGGGCCTAAAACAGTTTATTTACTTTATGTGTGCAGGTTAAATTGTGAAAAATCAAACGCTACTGTAAATGTGTTTTATACATGTGGAAGCACTGGGTCACATGAATATAAAGAAAACGTGCGCATCTGTCGAGACCTTCAGGTTATTTTAGGTCAACCTTATGTGAGTACAAACATGTTTTAAACCAAAGCGAGGAAAGAAAATTAGCGTATAGAATATTGTTTTCTAATTATAAAATATCTTGAGCTCAGTTATTTTGCAGTTTCCTGAATGCAATAGAGTTTACTAATACTTTTCACGAGGGAAATGGCAGCAGCTTCCATTCAGAAGTCCATAAAGAAAAGTGATGTTATTAAATTGCAGCTGGTATTTTTGCGCAGGATTGCTGCAGTGGTGTGTTGACTGTCTGCTGCAGTGGTGTGTTGAATGTATGCAGCCCACAGTCAATATATCGGCCCATCAATTGGCGGTTATAGCCCAGTGCTGTTGATATGATGGTTGCTGACAGGTTATCTTTACCTTTTATTGAACTTTTAGACACCAAAACCAGAGGCAGCTCATTCAGCTGCAGGATAGTAACAGTAATATGGCGACTAAACAAAACTACAGGAAGAAATACAGACAGGGCTGCTTATGCTAAATATAATTTTAACCAAGCCACCTGCTTCTTCAGAGTGTCTACCAGCTTGTTGTCTGTAACTGGAGCAACTGCGGGAATATGAAGAAAATTATTAGAGCTAATTGGACTAGAGTCATCTGTCAGACTTTAGTGTGATCGATACATTGTTTATCATTATTCTACACCCTCCCAATACACAAAATTAAAAGCATCTGGTTTTTATGTCAGGTGCGACAAGCAAATATTTTCTGTACGACTGACTTACTGTGCTGCATCAATCGTGGAGGAGTGGTCCTGTAGAAGGACAGAGATGTGAGATATTGTTTAGTTTGTACTGAGCGTAAAACCGCCAGCCTGCGGTGTCGGGATTGGGTTTTGAGGTCGAGTCTGGATGCTCGTGTTTTCCACCGAGAGGCCGGGGTCAC